GCGGGGGCCCGGAGCTAATCGATAGAGGGCGGAGAAGGGGCGGGCAGTGGCTGGGTTGGCTTTAACCGGGCTGGGCTGGGCTTGGCTGGGTTAGCCTGGCCTGGCTCAGCTCAGGATGGTTTAGCTGGCTCGGCCCGGCGTGGCACAGCTGCTGGGCTCAGCTCAGGGTGGGTTAGTCTGACCCAGCCTGGCTTATTTTAGCATGATTTAGCCTGTGCTAACTTGGCTCAGAGTAGTTTAGCCTGGCTCAGCTCAGGATGGTTTAGCTCGGCTAGGCTTGGCACAGCTGCTGGGCTCAGCTCGGGGTGGGTTAGCTTGGCTCAGCTTAGCATGATTTAGCCTGTGCTAACTTGGCTCAGGATAGTTTAGCCTGGCCCGGCTTGGCTCATCTCAGGGTGGTGTAGTTGGCCAGGCTTGGCACAGCTGCTGGACTCAGCTCAGGGTGGGTTAGCTAGCTGGCTCAGAAATAAGGGTTTTGTTTTACTCCATCACATTTAGATTCAGGGAGTTCAGAGAAGGTGCCAGCCTGGCAGGGCTGCTGCTTTCAAAGATCATGTGACAATGAGACAGGCAGGGTCCCAAAGGAACGAGGGGCAGGAACCGGGTTCCAACTCCCAGAGGAGCATTCCCATGGGAGAATCTGAGCAGAGAGCCCTGAGCAAGAGAGGAGCCCAACAAGGGATGGAATGAGTAGAGCCTTGCACCTCTGCAAATATCTGCTTTATATCTGCAGGCACTTGCAGGGGAAGTGGAGCAAGGCAGCCCCAGCTACTTTGCTCTCCTGGCCATGCTGCAGTGGGGAAGTGGGCAAGACGGCCCCTGCACTCCCTTGTGGGAAGCGGAGCAAAGCATCTGGGGCCACCTTGCTCTGCTTTCCTGGCCACTGCCAGTGAATGTTGGGAGGTGGGGCAGACCTCTATTTCCTGATGCCTCAGTTGGGGGCAGAGCAAGGGTGGGGAAGAGGTGGGGAGCAAGGACAGGGATGGGAAGGGACAGAGCAAGGGGAGGGGAGGGGCAGGGCCTCGGGTGGAGGGAGGTTGTCCTGGCCCTTCCCTGGGCTGCCCCCCTCTCCTGGAACCAGCTCACCAGTCACCTCTGTCTGCAGGTATCCTCCCCCCCGCCTAGTTAATCAGTGAAATGGGATTTTACATCCTTTTACTGGAGTGAGACTCCCTCCTAATTCATTTGCCCAGAGGGCTGCTGAAGAGCCCCCAGATTGTACCAACGCTCGGTCACTGTGGAATTGGCTTGAACTAGAACTGACCCAGAGGTTTCACACCCCACCCCAGGACCTCTGAGCTGGGAAAGCCGTTGAAAGCATGGCCTGTAAACCCTGGCACTCAAATAGAGATTGCTCCCAGGCTACACCGGGGCCCTCGCAGCCAGCAAGAATTCAGGGTTCAGAGCTGCATTGGAGTCACAGAGAATTCCACCTGATCTGGCAGGACGAAGACCTCAGCTTGGCTGACAACCACTTGTCCCTTCTCCTGAGTACGCTACGTCCCCCACCATCGCCCTGGTCAGTTCCGCTTTGAGGCTCATGGTGCAAACAATCGCAAAGCAAACCTTAGTGACGAGCAGCCAAAATTCACATTGAAATGTGAGTGTCACTTGGTTTCAACACCAAACGTTTTAACCTCCCTAGGGTTACGCAAAGCTGGGAGAGTGCCATCTGTAACGGGACCCGAGGCAGTGGGTTTTGCATGGCTTCAACTTTCCCAATGTGAGTTTCACAGAAGCAAATACAAAGCTGATTTCCTGCTGCCCTGTGTCTTGTGCAGCCGTTTACCTCCATGCACAGTGGGTGTGAATTGTTACTATTCTGATTTGTGTTTCACACTCCCTTTGCGTGTGGGTGATTGATGGCATGTGGAGCAGAGCAACAGAGAGCCCTGGAGCTCAGCCAGCCCATCTCTTTCCTCTCACCGCTAGTATCTTCCTAATATTGATATTTAAAGTCAGGTGTCTCTGGCGATGGGTCCCCATTCACATTTGGGTGTAATGTCCCTTCTCAGACCCTTCGTGATGACATAGTACTTTGAAGGCTGAGCTGTCACCTGCCTGCTAGGGCACAGAATTGCGGCTGGCCTGCACAGTGTGAACGTACAGGGGCCTGGCTCGCTTGCCTCTAGTGCCCCTTTCAGAAAACCAGCCTTTTGCAAGAACGCTGGACTTTGACCATCACATCATGCCTGACTGATAGCATGCTGAACACTCACTGCTTGCACTGACTTCAGCCGGGTTTGGGGGCTCTCAGGGGAGCCGGTCCATGCTGCGTTGCACGCCTGTCCTTTCCAGCAGCTAGATCAGGTCTGGCTTGGAGAGTAAAAACACCAATCACAGACAAGGCCAATGCGTCACTTTTGCAGCAGGACCGGAGGGAACAGAACCTCCCGGGTCCTGTCCATCTGCCCGTAAGAGGAGCGCAAGAAGTGACAAACCCATTGTAGCAAACACAGAAAGAAATAAACACACCTGGCAAACACTGACGTTTCAGAACGTTACAATGATAGTTCAAAGGAAACAAATCAAGATAATATTAAAAAAAAAATCCCTATAGGCACATCTTCTCTATGAAGCATATACTACAAAGAGAGCCGGCGTCGTAGCAGCCGCTGGGGCAACATGGACAGGTCTGGCATGGTTACATGACTGTACAAAACCTTACCTGCAAAGTTTCTCCTGTTCCTGCCACCATGTGACTCCAGACTGGTGGCAGCCTAGCCCACCGCACCCAACAATGCCATCCGGTGCAATATCGACAGCATCTGAGAGAACTGGCCACACGCCGAGGCCTAGCATGCCCAGCGAATGGCCTGGAGAAGATTCAAAACCCTCAAGGGAAATAACCCAACTGCTAATGAGCGGAATTCAGGTGCAGCTTGACAAGCTGTTGCCTTGCAGGGTGACCAGGGATCGCTGCTGGCTGTATTAATGCTTGACAGGAGCTAATGCTGTCGGGGGGTAAGCCGACTAATAACTTCTGGAGTTGTCACTCAGGGTGAGCAAACTGGCTCAGCATAAAGAAGGATCTAGTGTAATTGTTGCCATCACCCCAACACTGTGGGGAGTTTTGCCTGAGGCCTTAGGAAGTTGCATTTCATCTCCTGGGTTTCTCAGGGTGAGCTGGGGTGGGTTTCCTGCAGTGCAGCTTCTGCTGCGGCCCCCAGCTTTCTCCTTCCAAAGCTACAGAAAATTGCCAGCTCCAGCGCTGAAGCCAGCCCAGTTGATTATAAAAATACTGTTTCCAAATGCCAATGGTCTAGCGGCGGTTCCAGTGCTGGGCTGGCAGGCCAGGAGACTCAACCTCAAGCCTTAATTAGCTTGTCCTCTACGGTACTTCCTCTCTAACGCTGTAACATTTGATCACCTCACAATCCTTAAGGCATTGATCCAAATAACACCCTGGCAGGCTGGATGGTGCTTTCCTATGGGAGCCACGGCCTGGAGAGACACAGGCTGTGTCTAGACTGGCAAGTTTTTCCGCAAAATCATCTGCTTTTGCGGAAAAACTTGCCAGCTGTCTACACTGGCCGCTTGAATTTCCGCAAAAGCACTGACAGTCTCATGTAAGATTGTCAGTGCTTTTGCGGAAATACTGTGCTGCTCCCGTTCGGGCAAAAGTCTTTTTCTGAAAGACTTTTGCGCAAAAGGGCCAGTGTAGACAGCTGAGATTTCTTTTCCGCAAAAAAGCCCTGATTGTGAAAATGGTGATCGGGGCTTTTTTGCGGAAAAGCGCGTCTAGATTGGCCATGGACGTTTTTCCGCAAAAAGTGCTTTTGCAGAAAAGCGTCCATGCCAATCTAGACGCTCTTTTCCAAAAATGCTTTTAACGGAAAACTTTTCCGTTAAAAGCATTTCCGAAAATCATGCCAGTGTGGACGTAGCCAAAGGGTATGTCTACATTGCACACACACTGTCTGATTCTGATTTCAGCCCAACACCTCCATCAGTCCACGCACAACTCAGTCTGAGGTGGGTGTCAGCGGGCACTCAGGACCTGGATCAGAGCCCGAGTCCCGGATCCAAGCCCTGTCCTTTTGCAGAGTGAATGCAGGTCAAGCCACACCCGAGCTAGAAGGTCTGTGCAGTGTGGACCCTCTAGCATGGCTGGGAGACCTGGAGCCAGCTATTGTAAACCCAGCTTTGCAATGCAGCATGGCTGCCCAAGTGAGGGACGCCCCAAGGCCACACAGGAGTGTGGCTGGGAACCTAGCCCAGGTCTATTCCTCCCAGGCTAGCACTGGATCGGCCTGCCCCTCAGTGACCAGGCCCAGTCTGAGGGCAAACATACCTCACAACACCCCACACCCTTGGCTGGAGCGCCACCTCACGGGCTGACTGGTGAGTTCATGAGCCCTTTTGGTGACGCGGCCCCACTGGGTTCATGTCCTGCGCTGTCACCTAGAGACACCTCCAAGGGCCTGGCATCTGGTCACTACAGACCCGAGTCAGGTCTGCGCTGGCCACCTTGCAGGGAACAGCTCAGCAGCTTAATTCCAGGCCCCGGGCCTCAGCTCTCGCTGGGCTGACTCTTTGCAAATGGCCCAGGGTAACAAGTGACATGTGGAGAAACAAATAAATAGCATAACGTTCACGTGGGGTTTCGAAAGTGCAGTGAAATCTCCCCTACCCAACTCTGCGAGGGCCGTGGAAAGCCATGGCTTGGTCCTTGCCAGAGAACCCCCGGTAGCAGGATAATGAGCTTAGAAGACTGTTCCTTGACATTCCCTGAGCTTATAGGGAACTTGATAAAGTCTTTAGCTGAGTCTGCAGGGCGCCCCACCAGAGGCAGGAGCCGCAGAACACGTTCGGACCCCAGAGCCGGCAGCCTCTGCATGGACCCTGCGCGCAGCTGGTGCTGTTTTCAGGCATCCCCTCATCCTTCGTGTCTGTAGCACAGCCACCTCCTCCCCCCCCCCGCCGCAGATGGCAGCAGCTGCCTGAAGAAAACAGCATGGCCCTGAGCACCGGCCAGTGGGGCTGCCTGGGATACTCCCCCTCTGCAGCATTCCCAGCCCTGCCGGCCTTGGCAGAAAGAGACTAGAGGAGGTTTCAGGGAAGGGCCCGATTCTGCGGGCTACAGCGCTCACAGGGGAGCAGAGCAGACAGCACCCAGCTCCTTACTCCCCTGAGCAGGATCTGGCTGAGAGCCCCTGCCGGCCTGGGAGCCAGACTCAGGTTTCCTGCAGGGCAGCAGGGCAGTGCTCTGCCTCCCCCAGGCTCTGGTCATGCCAATGCTTTGAGAGTATGTGGTGCAAATGCAAACAGCAGCTTGATGCATGTTCCATGGAGATTTGGGGGCTGAAGGATCCAGCCAGGAGAGACGCACACCCGCGCCGCCTGTTCTCCTGGCTTCTGAAAGGCACTAGAATCTCTGGAAGTCCTGTAGGCCCTCAGTCCCGCCAATTTTCAGGCCCTGCAGCAGGGGGAAGTCGATCAGCGGCTCCTCGAGGAAGTCCCCGTCCTCCTGGGAACTGTGGCTGCCCAGCCCCGCCTGCGGGGCTCCATGGAACCACATGTTCTCGTAAGGCTTGGGGCTGGGCGACGGCTCGCTCAGCAGGGGCTGCGTGGAGTCGGAGCGGATGTACAGGGGAGAGGGGACGTGCTGCTGCTGCTGCTGCTGGCCCCGGTAGCCGTCTGCGACCACCTTGGCGTACTGGACAGTCCCCGCACCATTCACGTAGGAGCCCGGCCTCGCCTCTCCCAGAGCTGTGCTGCCACTTGGTAGGCCGGAGCTGCTGGGGAGGATGTAGGATTTGGGGAGGGCCGGGAAGGGGCCAGCAGCTGCTGGGAGGGAGTCTGTCTTCCCCCAGAGCGGTGCCTTCTTCTCGGCTGCCTTTTCCAGCACGGTGATGTCAGAAATGGTCACCAGGCCAGGCTCCCTCGCGCTGGCTGTCGGGAGAGTCTCCTGGAAAACAGAAGCAGGCTCAGGGAAGGCCGGCCCCACCCTCCCCCCCCCCGCCATCCCTCTCCTGCCAGGCTCTGAGTTCTCAGCTCCACTGCAGGGCACAGGCCTCTCTCACTGCTACCTCCTTCCTATTGCCCCTTTGGGACGTTCTGCACCATCTGCATATCCCAACCTTTCCCAGCCCCATGGCTGTATCCCCCTCCCCGCCCACCCGCCTGCCCACCCGCCTGCCCGCCATCCCTCTCCTGCCAGGCTCTGTGTTCTCAGCCCTACTGCAGGGCCCTAAAGTGACCCTCCTTTCTACCTGGCTTTAGGGCCTGGCTGCAATCTCACCTGAGGGCCTAATCCTACAGGGTGCTGAGTTGAGCATTTTGCAGGATCAGGCCCCATGTTTTGCCAGCTGGGCTGTGCACTAGATCTGACTGCCGAACATGGCTGAGCTTGCTACCAGGGCTCTGTGTTCTCAGCCCTACTGCAGGGCCCTAAAGTGACCCTCCTTTCTACCTGGCTTTAGGGCCTGGCTGCAATCTCACCTGAGGGCCTAATCCTACAGGGTGCTGAGTTGAGCATTTTGCAGGATCAGGCCCCATGTTTTGCCAGCTGGGCTGTGCACTAGATCTGACTGCCGAACATGGCTGAGCTTGCTACCAGACCCCCCTGGCTGATCCTTCTGCTTCTGATCCAGCTGCTAGGAGGGCAGGGCTAGTTCCTATTCTACTCGGGTGCTCGATCCCTGCCCCTCACTGTGGAGTCTGGCCTTCTCACCGGGGCACTCTACAACCTCCCAGAGCTTTGCTCAGAGGGGGACTCAGTCTTTTGCTGTGGAGCCAGCAGTAATGGGGGAGGACTGGCCTCTGCTGGACCCTTACCTGCTGTAGGTCAGCCGGCACCCACTTGCCCAGGCTGCTGTTAGCTGGGTCTGGGACGCTGGGCCAGAATTGATTCTTCACCCTGTTGGTCGCACATCAGAGAAGCTCAGTGAGAGGCCGGGGGGCTGCTTATTGACAGGGCTGCTGGCTGGGCTTGGGTTCTTGGCAGAGACTCAGCTGGCAGGGTGAGATTTGGGGCTTGGGGCTGTGTTTGTGCAGCACCCAGCATCAGGGGGCCCTGATCCCTGGCAGAGGCCTCTGGGGGCTGCCATAGCACAAAATGACTGGAGGCAGCACAGATGCCCCAAGTGGGGGGAGGGAGGGGCAAGGGAGGTGTGATTGGCTCAGTGCCCTTTGCTGCTCCTGTCTGAGCCTGCCGGACCCGCCTCTGCTCACACAATGAAGAGGGACAGCGCGTCTCTGGGGCCGAGTCCATGGAGTGCCACCGATTCGCCCCAGCCGAGAATTGGACCCGGTGGGAAAAGTGCAAAACTCCCAGACTGGTGCGTGTCCCAGAACGTAAGGGGGAGGAAATGTCGGCTTAGCCCTTTGACGCCAGCCCCTCCCTTGGGTGGGCAGAGCTCGGTGCCCGCGCATCGCACGGAAGAGCAGCACAGGTGTCGGCTGCATCTGGGGAGGTGAAGGGGTTAACAACACGCTGCCAAACCCGGGGGGGGGGGCGTCTGCTGATCCGCCCACTCACCTCCTGTTCTTCAGGAAGCAGACGATAAACACAATGAGCAAAACGCACAAGAGGCCAAGGGACAGCAGCAGATACTGGGTTTCTGTCTCGTCTGGAAAAGAGACGGGAAACGGGTTATTCCAAAAGCCCAGCCCCTGGGTAGCATGGCAGGACCTGCGGATTCCTCCTAGGCAGGTGGGGGCTGGAGCCCAGGGTGCTTTGTGCTAAGCAGGAGTGGACCCAGGCTTAGTCCCAGTGCCTCAGCAAACCCCATGTGCTCCTCTGCCACCTTGGGATGGGCTATGGTCACATGCACCTTGCGAGTCAGCTGTCCCTAGAGTTCACATGTGTACATGTGTGTGTACATGTGTGCACGTGCATGCTTGTCTGTGTGCACGAGTGGGTGCGTGGGCATGTGCCTGTCTGTGTGTATGTATGTGTGTGTGTGTGTGCATGTACGCATGCGTGTGCATGTACATGTACGTATGTGTGTGTGAGCGTGTGCATGCGTGTGCATGTGTGTGTGCCTGTGCATGTGTGTATTTGTGTGTGTGTGCATGTGTGAATGTGTGTGTGCCTATCCATGAGCGGTTGCGTGTGCATGTGCCTGTCTGTGTGTGTGTATGTATGTGTGTGCATGTATGCATGTGTGTGTGTGTGTGCGCGCGTGTGTATATGTGTGTGTGTGTGTGTGCATGTGCCTGTCTGTGTGCGTGTATGTATATGTGTGCATGTATGCATGTGTGTGTGTGTGCGTGCCTGTCTGTGTGCAGGAGTGGGTATGTGAGCTCATTTGCCTGTCTGTGCATGCTGAGGGTGTGGCTCCCAGACTGTCTCCTCCCCACCCCCGACTTCTGCCACACGGCCCACATAGCGTCTCTGATCACTGCTTTAGGCCCACCCCAAGAACCACGGGGTTCCCCAGCAGACCCAGAACACAGACTTACTCAGTGCCGGGGTCACCAGCGACAGGGTGGTGCTGTTGGTGCTGCCGGCTGCTGTGGATGCCATTATGTGAACTTTGTACATCGTCAAAGGCACCAGGCCCCGGATGGTGAAGGCAGTGAAGGAGGAGTTCACAACAGCACCTAGAAAGCAGGTCTGGCTGTTAGTGACCGTGGGATCCCATGCACTCATACCATTTACACACTCGTTCCTAGGCCTGGCATCATCTCCAGCAGCTAAATCCACAGACCGGTGCCTAGACAAAGAATGGACTAGCCTGGGAGGCAGGAGAGCTGGGATCAATTCGCTGCTCTGTTACAGCTCGCTTGTGTGACCATGCACAGGTCATTCAGTCTCTCCGGGCCAGATGTAAAAGGGATTTGGTCACCATACGATGCAGGCAAGTGCCTACGGGGATGTTCATAGACTGATCGATTCCAAGGCCAGAAGGGACCTTTATAATCATCTAGTCTGACCCCCTGGATAACACAGGCCAGAGACCTTCCTGCAATCATTCCTAGGAGAGAGCGGTTAGAAAAACCATCCATCTTGATTTAACAACTGCCTGGGATGGTGGATCCACCATGACCCTCGATAAATAGACTGAACAGCTCATTACACTCACTGGGGTAACGTGCACCTTATCCCCATGCCTGAATTTGTCTAGCTTCAATTCCAGGCTTTGGAGTGTGTTCGACTCTTTCTCTGCTAGACTGGAGATCCCGTTATCCAATAAGTATTTATAAACTGTAATCAAGTCCCCTCCAATCAAGTCCACCTCCACCCCCACACCCACCTTCTCTTTGTTAAGATAAATAGAGTAAATTCCTGGAATCTGTCATCGTGAGGCAGGTTTTCCAGTCACTCTTGTGACTCTTTGCTGAACCCTCTCCAGCATATCAATATCTCATTAATATACTAGGGAAATATGGCCTAGATGGGGCTCTTATAAGGTGGGTGCATAACTGGCTAGATAACTGTTCTCAGAGAGTAGTTATTAATGGTTCACAGTCATGCTGGAAGGGCAAAACAAATGGGGTTTTGCAGGGATCAGTTTTGGGACCGGTTCTGTTCAGTATCTTTATCAACGATTTAGAAAATGGCATAGAAAGGACGCTTATTAAGTTTGCAGATGATACCAAACTGGGAGGGGTTGCGAGTGCTTTGGAGGAGAGGGTCATAATTCAAAATGATCTGGATAATCCAGGGAAATGTCAGAGGTAAATAGGTTGAAATTCAATAAGTACAAATACAAAGCACTCCATGTAGGAAGGTACAATCTGTTACACGCGTGCAAAATGGGAAGTGATTGCCTAGGGAGGAGCACTGCAGAAAGAGATCCAGGAGTCATAGTGGACCACAAGCTAATTATGAGTCAACAGTGTGACAATGTTGCAAAAAAAGCAAACCTCATTCTGAGCCTAGTAGGTGTTGTAAGCAAGTCATGAAAAGTCAGTCTTCCTCTCTACTCCATGCTGATCAGGCCACAGCTGGAGTATTGCATCCAGTTCTGGGCACCACATTTCAGGGAAGATGTGGACAAATTGGAGCACGTCCAGAGAAGAGGAACAAAAATTATTAAAGGTCTAAAAACATGAGTTGTGAGGGAAGACTGAAAGAATTAGGTTTGTTTAATCTGAAGAAGAGAAGACTGAGAGGGGACAGGATAGCAGCTTTCGAGTACCTAAAAGGGTGTTACAAGGAGGAGGGAGAAAATGATTCTCCTTTATCTCTGAGGATAGAACAAGAAGCAACGGGCTTAAATTGCAGCAAGGGAGGTTTAGGTTGGACTAGGGATGTAAGCGACTGGACAACAATCTGATAAGCAAATGCTCAATTAATCGCTTCGCCTCCCCTTGCTGCCTCTATCAGAAAGAGGTAGCAAAGTGCGGGGGAGAGAAGGAGGTGCTTCAGAGCAGTAGCACCCAGGCTCCATGCAGTGCTGTCGCTTTGAAATGCCACGTGCAGCTTGGGCCAGCAGGGGACTGCTTGAATTCCCTGCTGGCCCCGTGCTCCCCATAGAACTTTCGCCTTTGAAGTGTAGCAATAGCCCGAAGGCTTGAAAGGCAGAGGCTTATCAACTAATTGAATAGTCAAGCGGGGAAACAGTGTGAGCAGGGTCTGCTTCAAGTCCCCGTTTGCACCGGTTCCCACTACGGGCACTTCTGCTTTTGAAATGTACAGGAGCCCTGGGGAGCTCTTGTGCATTTGAAAAGCAGAAGTGCTGCAGGGAGCACTTGGCAAGCCCCTTGCCCCGTGCTGTCTGTGGGTCCGTCTAGACTACAGGTTTTTTTCGACAGAGGCTTTTTAGACAAAGCCTCTGTCGAAAAAGAGCATCTAGACTACAACCAGTTCTGTCAAAAAAGCAAACCTATG